CCTATTGCCAGTCTTAACAAAAATGGTTCTCGGAGAGTTTTTCTTGGATGGCTTAAAATTGGCAGTTTTTTCTTCTGTTTCATTCTTCTGGTGTAACATATTTCTCTAAAATCCTTATCGGATGTATAAAATTTCCCATCAAACAAAAAAATCTCATCTTGTGTGCAGAATCCGGTGTGTGTGTGTGTGTTCTTCGATCTTCAACCGTAGTCGCAGCCGGAAAAGCTGCAATCACCTGGCTTTAGTGTCGGCAGTTGATGCAAGCCTATAAAACCAAACAACGTACACCAGAGAGAAGGGCCCCGGATGGAATGTGATGGCTGCCTTTGGCGCGGCTTCGGGGGGTGAAAGTATAGATAAGCCCAAAAGATGCTCCTTTTCCTTTGGGGAGGAAAACTTTGTTTTTAGCATTTTAGTAAGGCAGAAAAGTCGGTACAATGCGAAAATGAGAATGTACACGAACGCCCGCGCTTCAGGTCGTAAAATAAATGAAGGAAACGAGAAAAAGGCATAACTTTTTCCTTGGCTAATGCCAAGGCTCTGCGTTTTCGGTGGAAAATTGGAATGGGCCCAGATCGAATCTTCCTCAAAAGGATGCAAGTGGAATATTTGATGAGGCTTCTCGCCGCTTCATGATAGCTGACGTAAGAAATTGTGCAAGGAACACAGTAACAGCTTTTCCCATGCTTTGCCTTTTGCGGGGTGTGGCAGCTCAGTGTTGGTTGAGATAAATTGTCTGCCTTCAAAGTGAAAGTATTTCATGTGGTTAATGAGATGGAAAATTGGATCTCGTCTTCGATTTTTGGGACCCAGCTTCACTTTGGAAGTTTTGATGTGCAATTCGATAAGCTTTAGTTGAACCGAGGAAAATCCTTTTCTGCCCGGGCAGGCATAGTCAGACGAAAATGCTTGGAGGAAGACAACCGAAAAAGTTTTTCTTTTTCATCACCATCATGGCGAGCTGTAAAATCCTGTAATGAATCGTAAAAACTTTAACTTTGTTTAATTATTTTTCATCAAAGTCTCTCACTGCTTGTGCGGTGCTTGGGTCTAAAATTTGTGGATGTAAAGTACGGCACTTGAAAATTGCGTAACAGCAGCAGAACGGGGACGGTGCATGACTAGAAAGCAAATTATCCTCCCGCTCGTCATTTTTCCTTTTTCGGTTACATAAAGCAGCCGCCTCGTTCTGAAATTTTACACCAGGGAAATTTATGATGAGTTCTGGGCTGCCATCAGCAACACCTGCACAATGGGAAAGATGAGTGTGTAGAATGGCATAAAATATGTTTTTCAGCATATGAATGCCTGATACAGGAATTTGTCGTGAATGAATCACGAGACCATGGTTCGGTATATAGTAGAGATGCATATTGGTTTTCGAGAATACTATGCTGTAAAATCGTAAATTTCATTTGCAAACGCCGCCTGGTCGTGAATTTATTTATGGGACACACACGGTGTCGCATTGGCTGCAAAGAGCTTTGGATTGTTCCATCTGGACGGTGGACCGGTCGGTCCAGGAGGGGGATGCTGGCATCATCTGCATGCACGGACGCCTGAACTACAAAAATTCTAGCTGTGTTCCATCATGTTTTTACAACTTTTACAATGTAGAACCGAGAGGGGCAAACTTTTTACGATTTTCATTTTTGTGCAAAAGTTCCATCCCTCACGAGAAGTGTGATGCTCAGGGAGGGTGGAAACAAATGTACCTCGAAGCATTAGCCACCTACCACCCACATACATTGCAGCGTGGTAACAATGGTCGCTGCCGGTGTCGCTATCTAATCAAACCCTTTTCGACAGAAGTTGCTTTTGTGTTTGATTAAATTAGTTTTCCCGCCCTCTTCTTACTCCACCACTCCGTTTCGTGGTACAGTAATGACCAGATTTTGTCAGCCCCTCCACGTGTCAGATTTTTATCGTTCAATAATTTCACATAACCGGTATTCCGAATCTTTTTCATTCATCATCAAGGTGGATGTTTAAGATCACTGAAAAAGCGCATATGTTCCGTAGAACATTAGAAAAGATTTTCGAAAAATGGGTCTGGCAAAATCGGGTCATTACTGTATCTTTATTATTTGGACACAATATTCGACTGCTGTTATCCCGAGCAAAGTCTGAGATCAAATTGGAAACTATTTTTGATGTTGTGATGATGCGGATAACGCTACTCAGATTGCTGTAATTTTGGACGATTTAACGGTTAACATATCAAAGTTGAGAGCAAAAAAATCTTCCTCTGACATCACTTAGAAAACTGATTCTGCTATCAGTGAGATCAAACCGAAATCTCAATTTGATGTTCATTTTTCTGTCGGAAACAGTAATCCCTGCATTTATGCGGTGGGTTATGCCGTCCACTCACCACTATTTGTCGGTCGCACTTCAACCAATTGAGCTGTTTTTCTGTAGACAACTGTTCCTGTTGATTACAAAACCATTATTCAAATTGATGTTCTGCTAAGGCTATCAAAACAGTTCTTGATTTACTGTAAAAAGACACTACTGAAAACAAAACAAAAATCAATTGCAAATATAGATGCAGAGCAAAAGTACATCAAAATGAAAACATCAATTGCTATCAAATTTGGCAACCCTTAACTGAAATCAAATTATGATTTCAATTTTCAATTTGATGTTGACATTCAAATATGATTTCGATTTGCTATCATTTTGATGTTGGACTTTGCTCGGGATGCTACCTAGAATGGGAAAGCTTAGCGCGTCCTGGCCGATGCATTCCAGAAACTAATCTGCTGGAGCTAGTACAAAACAAAAGCAAGACAAAGTTCTCAAATTCTTCGTCGCAGAACTTTACTAAGGATATATTATTCAACTGCTAATAATAGTCACTCGTAAAAACCCGGCAAATAATTGATAAAATTGTCGCCGACGCACATACATCGTCAGAGATACGGTGAGTGCACTTTCTTCAGCATAGCACACCCCTTGCTTTGGCGTAAACATTGAAGCAATTAAGGTTAATGTCGATTGTTTGTGTTCATCTTGAGTCGGGGAATGCCGAGCAACAATGGCAACTGCTACAACGGCAGCGCCACAAACTTTTACGGAATCGATAAAAACTACCACCCATCACTGGTGAATTGTTTGAGTTTTCCCTTTTGACACTGAGGGGAATAATTCCGAATGTTTGTACATAAAGAATACAAACATAGGGTATACGTCCCTAACCTCGGTCTAATATGCAGCCATAGATTACGTTTTTAATCATAACTCATCAATTAATTTACCTGCAAACGATATTCTACTGCTAAATGGTATGCTTAGATATGCTTATCATGTCGTTTGCTATCAGGAACCGCAAAAAGTTGAAAAACTTACTTTTTTTAAGACAAAAACTCACCAGGGAAATGTATGTAATATCGGTCTATTGTCCCCAAATTGGGTCTATTTATGGATGCAACTTCGTCCTATCCTGTTTGATTCTAAAAAAAAACGCTCTTGGTAACGTTTTCTTATGTATTTTTTTTTATCACTATCACTGTTAACTTAATACTCTTCATTCCTCAAAACATTTCTTAGAGAAAATTTTACGAAAACTACATTAAATCACTCAAGTTAAAAATTAAAAATTAAAAATTTCGCTTATCGTCTTTCGACCGCAGAATATCTAAATCAAAACATTGTGATGTTCATTATACAGATTTGGCAGAAAAAATCTCCCTTCCTGTTCGTTCCTTATCATCCAAATGCAAACCACATTGTTGACGTTACTCTTATTGCTATATGCTGTCAAATGAATTTCATGGGCCAAAGTTAGGAACATAGAAAAGAAATGTGTCCCTAAAGTTGGGTCCATGATTTACTTGTGAAAACGTTGTTAAACAATTAAAATAAACATAAAATATTCAAACAGTAACTGTGAGTTTTACGTCTAGTGTGTATTATCAGGTAATTCCATTCAATAAATGCCATAATCAGGCCATTTGATGATCGTCAGTGCAACCTTCCCATCTTAACCTTAGAAGTCATGGCGGCTAAAAACTCCGAACAGAGTGATATTCTCAACCAGTTTTATTACTTACGAGAGCTGAAAATGTATTGAAATGTTGTGATATAAATTGATTTGTGTGTGGTACACATTTATCAATCATCAGTGATCAATATTTTCCTTATTTTTTGTGTAATATTCCTTAATTAATTATTTATTTGCGTGATAGGCCGAATGAAAGGACTAGACCCACATTACATACCGTAACCCTATGCTTTTGCGTAAATATTTGCGCTTATCCTGCTTGGGGTGCTTTTAAGAGGAGTGGTGGAAAACTTCTGGCAGAAGATCAAGGATGAACTTCCCGCAGGAATTTCCCGGGACCTTTTTTGGGATCGGTGAAAATGACGAGGGGTATATTTATTGCGTTGCCCGGAGGTTGAGTTCACTAATGGGTACTGTGGGAGCAGCGAGAATTCTCCAAGGCAATCGTTATACTTTGTTGTTAAAGTGAATGTGCCGCTAGGGTGGTCTTCTGTGTAGAATAATTGGTTGATTTCGGGTCACCTAAATGGGCAGGAAATGGGCGGCTACAAATCAAGACACATGGTGGCGCTGGGTTCGATTCCTGGACCGGTCGAGGGATTTTTCGGGTTAACATTAGTGTCGACAATTCTGAGCACAGGCTTGGAATGCTTTCAAATAGAAGCTGGAAACAGATGGGTTTTAATAGAAGATTTAAGGTTGAATTCTTCCAAAATTTATTCTTAAATGTTGAATATACTACATAGGAGAAATACTCAATACTACTGTGTGATCTTCTTTTAACGTAAACTAGAAACTGTTTATTTATCACACCCAACCAGTTGAACCATATCCCTTTTTTTAAAGAGATTTCTTGAATCTATTTATTTATTTGACGTCAATCATATTTGTAGACCGTTTTCGTTACATTGATTACCTTAAGTACTAGTTCACTTAAATTCATCCTGCTTTATCTAAGTACAATATGTATGAGCATATAAATAGTTTTGAATAAATGGTTCTCCTAGTTGTCGTGGAGCGATACAGACAAGCGCGGAACAGACAAAACTCGGTTTTCCGAAGAAAGAAGCGTCAACAGGAAGACCGAGATCGCGAGGCGATGGAAAATCTGTACCACGTAAACGACACACGGAAGTCCTACGAGAAGCTTAATAGTTCGCGCAAAGGCTACGTGCTGCAAGCCTATATGTGCAAGGACTTGGACGGTAACCTTCTCACGAACGCGCGTGAGGTGATTGAGAGGTGGAAGCAGTACTATGACGAGCACCTCAACGGTGAAGCACCGGCCCCTGATCTTCAAGAAGTTGAGGAGGAGATCGGTCGGCTGAAGAACAACTAAGCAACTGGTGTTGATCAACTACCAAGTGAGCTATTAAAATACGGTGGTGAAGCACTGGCTAGAGCGCTGCACTGGGTAATTGCCAAGATTTGGGAGGAGGAGATATTACCGGATGAGTGGATCGAAGGTGTCGTATGCCCAATCTACAAAAGGGCGACAAGTTGGATTGCTGCAACTACCGTGCGATCACACTGTTGAGCGCCGCCTACAAGGTACTCTCCCAAATTATATGGCGCCGCCTGTCACCATTTGCAAGAGAAATCGTGGGGCAATACCAGGCAGGATTCATGGGTGCCCGCATACGACACAATCAATCGAGATCAGCTATGGCAGATTATGCACGAGTACGGATTTCCGGATAAACTGACGCGATTGGTCAAGGCGACGATGGATCGAGTGATGTGCGTCGGTCGAGTATCGGGGACACTCTCGAGTCCCTTTGAATCTCGAAGGGGGTTACGGCAAGGTGATAGACTTTCGTGTCTGCTATTTAACATCGCGTTAGAAGCCGTGATCAGAAGAGCAGGGATAGACACGAGTGGCACGATTTTCAGGAAATCCGGCACGGAACTTTAGGACGATGGCGGAAACGCACATCAGACTGAAGGCTGAAGCTAGGCGGATTTGACTTGCCAATTGGAAAATACATGAAAGGAAGAGGTTCTAGGGAAGACAATGTTAGCCTCCCACCCCGAGTTCAGATTGACGGTGACGAGGTGGTCAATGAGTTCATGTATTTGGGCTTACTGGTGACCGCCGAAAATGATACCAGCAGAGAAATTCAAAGACGCATTATGGCAGGGAATCGTGCCTACTTTGGACTAAGGAGGACGCTCCGGTCGAATAAAATTCACCGCCGCATGAAGTTGACTGTACACAAGACGCCGATTAGACCGGTGGTCCTCTACGGCCACGAGACCTGGACTATGCTCGTGGTGTTTTCGAATGGAATGAATCGTGAATTGCACCAGCTGCTGGGAGAACCATCCATCGTCCACATTTCAAAAAATGAGCGACTTCGGTGGGCTGGACACGTCGTAAGAATGCCGCACGATGACCCAGTGAAAATGGTTCAAGAAAGCGACCCACCAGGAACAAGAAGAAAAGGCGCGCAGCGGGCAAAGTGGATCGACCAAGTAGAAGGCGACCTGCGGACCCTTCGCAGACTACGAGGCTGGCGAAGTGTGGCCATGAAACGAGTAGAGTGTAGACGACTTTTTCGGACAGCAGAGGATTGGTAAGGTAAGGTAAGTTATCGTTACACGCGGAAACATTGTTTTATTTTGGTTTTTGACATTGTAAAGTCTGCAATTCATGACGCTCTTTTGATGTTTGGATGTTGATGAGCATACATCGAGCTTTATAAGATGGTAAATCAAGTATAGACCAACCTAAATTGCGGAGGGCATATCATAACTGCTTTTGTACTTACTCTATTTTTTCTTCATGTAGGGTAGAGAACTACTTCGGCCGAATCGTCCATTTTGGGCCTATCGAGCAGAAAACTTCAAATAAATTCATGATTTCAGAGTTAACAAGTCAATTATGCGTTTGGTACGATACTTTAGTTAATAAGCTACGGAACGAAGTCAATGAGAACGCGTGATATGAAGGTTAGCACCCATTATTCCCAAAAACAAAAGAAGCTCTCATACCGAATCCATTTTTATCTTCATCCGATAGGCCGAAGTGAATTCTTTGGCGTTTCAATGCGTTAGGCCGAGTTTAGAATTCGTAGGCCGAGTTTGGAGTCAAGAAGCAGTGTTAGACTTTTGACAATATCTCAACGATTGGTTTCTCTTTATCAAATCTTACGGTATATACGGAAAGGTAAATACATTTGGAAGCCATCAGTAATAATAACATTCCGTTTGGTTCTAAACTGCGCTAGATTAAGAAAGACTAAGTGCGGGCTTTGCTTAATAGGCCGGAAATGGGGTAGTTAACCCTATGATTGAAAAGGGAGACCAAACTATGCTGCGATATTCCAATATTGACCTGACATAAGCAATGTTCAACGTTTTTATCGCATACGGGTCATGAAAATTATAGCAAAAGCGTTTTATAAGGCCTAGCATGTTGTTGGCTCTGTTTATAAGTTATCTTATAATGATCCATGAATGTAAGTTTAGAGTCACACTTTTCAACATTCTGATGTCCTAAGGTAATTGTTATATTGGGTATGTTCCGTTTTCTAGTAAAGGTAATTGAGTTACATTTGTTTACATTTAGTTGTAGCAGGCTTTAGTTACACCAAGTGTGGAATATCTGTATTTAAGTTTTGAATGTGTTGTTGTCCTCGGCATTTATCAGACTTGCATTGGAATCAAATTCAAGAAACGCACGTATACTAACACGCATAGCATGTCTATTATATACGTTCTTCTTATGGAGGAAACCGAAGCCTTATATGGATTTCAACAAGTGGAAAAATTATTCATCAACCTGCTACGTGATCGTTTTTACTAATGCTCATTAATTTCTCATTAATTTTGTAGGTCGGTTTATGAATGGAAGTTTTCTCAGAACATTTATTTCAGCACTTTCGTTCATACTGATTACATACCACAAAAAAAATAAGGATCGGTTCTTTAAGCATGGCATACGCACATAAGTTTACAGAAATGCAATATTCAATTATGAACCACCCTAAACGCACGTGCAGGAGGGGTTTTCTCAGCTTGGCATAATCACTATTCAGCTTGTTTGTATAAATAATTGAAATGTTAATTGCTTGGAAACAAGTTTGCAATTACACGCAACCCTCCGTTCAGTAGCCAGTTCCATTCATGAAGATAATTTACTTCAAACGAGAACTAGTCGCATAAACTGCCCGGTTCACTTTTCTATCAGTAGGTTTAGATGCAAACGATGGTAGAAAAAAAATAAAAGAAAAGAAGCAGACAAGTAAGCGCACATAAAACAAATGATAGCATCGCGTGCTAACGCTAATTTCAGCCGAAAGCGATAAAATGGGAGCACACCTTTTTCTACAATCAACCCTGCAGCCCCCATTTCTATTGCTTCCATTTAAGCATAAAAGTACGAACATGAACTTCAAATGACAATTATCAATTTGTGACGTCCTGTGCGAGTTAAGTTTTGTAGCGTGCGCTGATCAATGTCGAGTCCCCACCCACTTTCGATAGTGCTAATGGTGATCATGCGGTGAATCAGCAGTCATGTTGTTTACTCGTCGAATTGACTCAATGTCAGTCAAACCGTTCGCGTTTACTTTACTGCACTTTTCATAAAATTGATTGATGTGTCTCTTTCTTCTGTTCGATGTATATTTCAGTTGTGCGCTTACTTGTCGATCGAATGCACGATCACCGGCGATGTTCTGGTGTCCCAGTAACTACGAGCGGACGAGTACGAATGTCATGAAATTAGTTAATCGCGAACGAATCGATGGATTAAGTGTGAGTTGTTTTATTTGCTTGGTGCTACGAAACCGACGGTATCTAACGATTACTAGAAAAACGCAGGCGTTGATCGACATTAAAATGTGGTAAGAGCAAACTACTCTACAATCAACTAACATGGTAGTTAAGGTTTTACGATCTATTTACGTATTGCCATCGTTTGTGCTTCGGTCGCATTCAAATGAGATTTGCTCTGTGTTAGCGACCGACGGCGAAAAGGGGAAACACGCTGGATTTTACTCCTAGCAGTAGAAGTTTTCGTGTACCCAAACCTTGCCTCTGTCTCTCTCTGTAATGGCGTGAATGAATGATTAAATAGCTTTTCTTCGCAGTTTTCTCGTAAAAGCCGGAAATTGAAGTATTTACGAGGCAAGCTAGATCTGCCCTGCAAGATATGGGTTCCGGACCCTGATTGATTTCCCCTCACCTTCCACCTTACCGAGGAAACAGCTGCCTATAGCGTAGGAATTGCCGCGGATTACCGGTTTTCGTGATTACCTTACAAAATACCAGGCTTATGGTGGTGAAACACAAGATCCTAACAGCAACCGTTGAACAACAACAACACAGCGTCCAAGATAAGCTCGAGAGTCCCGGAAAATATCGATTGAACATTTTCTAATTTTAGCTGGCGGCGATAAATAGTAGCGCGAGAGTCAAAATCTGCTAGGCATTCACGGCGAATCGAGCGAGATCGAACGACATTGCTGCTGTCCTTGTTCCGTTCACATTTACTGCTGTTGGCAGTTGAGAGCCATGTTATGTAAAGAATGACTTTTTCGTGTTCGAACCGAGTAGTGTGCGATGGGCAGGAGCATGCGCAAAGTGCCGGTGAAGGCAGTGGAATGGAGCGATAATGGCAATGCGACAAAAACCAGCCACTGCGGTCAGCCATGTTGGTTTCAAACGATGAGTGGTGTGTGTGTGTGCACACTGCCAGCCTGCTGGGATGGCTAATGTGGCAATCATGGCAACCGGTTTTTGTGATGGTAGTGGTATTGGAATTTTGAATTCGCTGCATCAGAAAACTAAATGTTCGAGTATTGGAATTTAAAACTGCGATCAGTGCGACCAGACTTTGATTCGTTGAGCTATTCTTGACATTGAACTTAAGCTGAATCTGACATTTCACATGATTTATTTTGAGAAAGTCACTTTCCAGCTTGAACCGAACCATCAGCCGCATGGCGTCATACTGCTTGCAGTGAGTGTTGGTGTATTCCCGCAGAAATTCCTTGACATGATTCTGGTTAGACTTTGCCAAGTCAGGTTTCGGTTTGCTACGTTGGTGCATTAGCAAATTGGAAGATAAATTTGCTTAATTAATTGCCAGTAGTTGAGATGTGAATTCTCTTACATAGTGGTGATATAATTTGCTTCGAGAAATTGCATACATTGTGTCAGTTTGTATCGAGAACATTTCCGCAGTGACCTTTGCAACTGTCAAATAAAAGAAACCGCGTCCATATAGAATGCAATTTATTGTTGAAAGTGTCAATAAGATTTCAATAAATATATTCTATGCAGAGAAACATGTGTTGATCGCTAGTAACAACTATTGAATGACGGAATCTATTGATTGTCCAAGTGTCAAGTTGAACATATTTGTTTTTTAACATTTATAAAGAGAATTGGCGATGTGATTCTGTGATCATATACATTATTGTTTTCATAATTGAATTACTTGTTTCTTCTAACTGATTAAGCCAATATAGTAGTAGTTTTGTAATTTCCTCTTTTTGAAGCTATTGCTACAGTTACACTAACAGTTAATGACAAGTTTAGAGGTAAAATGAGTCATAGCTAACTTTTTCTTAAATGTGATGTGAAACCGTTTTTGTTTTCGTTACTTTGAAATACATAATATGACTCGTACATTAGTGATCGATATTAAGTCTGTGCTAAACTGTCTGTAACTTCAAATATGTTGCAAGCTACCTTTTCATGATTATATGCTTTTGATTTATTGAGTAGGCATTTACCATTTGACACTGCTCTTCTTTCTAATAAGCTTGGGTCGGGAATATTTGGATTTTTTCCTCTGTTCGGGACCTAACACCACTGCGACCAGTAATTTGATCTATAGTAGTATATACCGTGTCCTTAGTTTAGTGCATGTCGTATTACTCCATCACTATTGAGAAATGATGAGGTATTCGATTTGTATACAGTTGTCCTGTTTGCATTTATCGCAAGGATCCGACTCTAATTGAACGGTTCCGCTTTATACCCTTCGGAGTGTTGAAACACCCTTTAAACCCCCCCCCCCCCTTTGTCAGTCAAAATTGGACTCCTTGGCAACAAAATTAAGAAATGAAATTGATAATAACCATGTATCAGAACCCTAGCCTTAACCTCTTCAAACTAGAGAACAACCAATAGAAGTTTAGGAACCACATAGATGAAGACTAACTAACTCCTTGTTTCAAGATCATCCTCCGTGGGCAAAGTCGAGTCTTGTCACTAAGATGTGTTCCTTGGATTATTGGAAAATGCTGTTCCCCTAGTTTGAAGTAGTAAGGACTAGGAATCGGTGGTAGATCTTACATTCCGTAACGGACCACGAAAAGGTGATCTAACCACGTTACGGGGCGAATATTTGGTTAAAAGCCAGCATATTTTGTTTACCAAAAAGTTAATGATAAATGCCCAATGCTTTGAATCTCTTAATTACAAACCTGGGTAACCTTAAATTTTCAGGAAATTTTATTATGCCCGGAAAAACATGGAATTCTAGCAAATTGTTAAATTCCTTTATCGAGCAATTTATATTGAAGTATGCCAGAGATCCTTCGGAGAAATTTTAAAATATTTAGTAATACATTATCTTTCTCGTTAGTCACTCTTACTCTTTGTATGAAATAATTGTGGAGTAGATTTATCTTCGGTAACAACATAAAATCTTATCCTTGAATTGTGTTTTTAAGGCTCTGGAATATGGATAATTTCTACAGATTTTTTTTTTAAATCTTTAACTCAATTAAATCAAACTTGCCGAAATTTCCAAGAATCTGGAAAGATAATAAAAATTCAAGACGACGGACATGGAATACATTTCAAGAACCCTGATTTAAAAAAATATATAAGCGCCATACAAATGTTTCAAATTATATGAATTTTAATTAATTAATTTGATAGGAATTTCGAAGGATCTCCAGGAATAATTTCAAGGGAATTCTGAGGTAAATATCATGGTTCGATTTTTTGGGAAAGTGAAATCTGAAGATTCCTTTCAAATTAGTTCCGATGAGCTCCAGACTCCAGGTGAAACGTTAGGAGAATTCCAAGGTAGTTTTGAGTAGTGTTCTAAGGGAATCCTCTGTAGGATTCGAAGTTAATTTACAAGAGAACTAAGCGGGGCATTCCAAGGCAATTCCAAAGAAAATTAAAAGAGGGTTCTGACTAAAACTTCAAAGTATATTTGAGGGGACTTTTTTTAAGGGTTTTGTACGGGGAACTGAAAGTGAATTCGAAGGAGAAATCCGAGATACTTATAAGTAGAATACAAAGAGAAGAAAAATAATCCGATGGGAATTTTGAAAAGAATTCAAGAACAGTTTGAGGATGATTCAGAATGTACTCTTAGGTGCATTGCAAAGTAGCATTAAGAAAATTTTCAGCGAAGTTTTGAGGTAATTTTCATGGAGAATTTCAAGTTTGTTACTGTAATCATGTTTAAAGAACTCAAAGAAGAGATCATTAGGAATCCTGAGGACTATTTCAAGGAACCGAAAACCTGCAAATTTTCGAAGACCTGGAAAAACCTGGAGAATTATGTTTAGCAAAATAAACAGTTGTCAAGGTTTTCAAACCATCATCAGAATGGTTGTATTCATTTTTTAAGCTGTTAATTGTTCAGGTAATGAGGACTGAATTAGAAAAGCTTGAAGATTATTATATTTAATGAATTCGCAGGCTTTGTAATGTTCCCAATATACCAAACCAAAAAGCCCGCTTTTAATAAAATAATAAAATATAATCAAAAGTGGTTTTATATCTTTATTTTAGCCTTGCATTTCAAGAAGGCTAGTTAGAGGGTATATTGGTTACTTGGGTATATCATCATTCGATGCCATCGATTTCACAAATATGCAATTCTCAATTTGTAAAATGGGTATATGTTCAATTATTTTTGTTTTAAAGTGTTTAAATATCAGCTTGTAGGATTTTAAATTTCATTCGTTTTCGATTTCAAGCAGCCATGGACGTGAAAATGGAGTATGTCATAAATCTGTATAAATTCGTTTGTTATCTTTTAGAAACTAAAATCTCGTCGAAAGAATGAATCATTTATTTTTCGTATCATTATAGAGATAAAAAACCATGCGTGGAAAATCCGATCAATATCAGAGCTCAGATGCATCACCATCACTCCAAAAGTGATGGAACTAAAACATGTGTGCCAGCTGTGGTTCATTATCGTGACAAATGTGGCTGGTAATTAAAGAAAATGGGAGAGAGATTTGAATTAAAGTTTGCTAAGTTGAAGGTTATATATGTAGCACAGACAAACAGACGTAACTCTTTGAAAAAGTTTTTCTTGAAAACATAGTATCTCAAAATATATGACCTCAGTAACGACATCTCTCGGGCTTCTCGCGGAAAACAAGCTTGCTCGCTAGCTCGCAAACAATATTGCATAAAAGTTCTATAGAATGTATAGAAACGTCAAAGTGATCAGATGCCAGCGCTGCGGCGAGTAGTTCGCGGAACTGATAATATTCAAATCAACCGTTAAATGCATGAACGAAGATACACAATGAAGTGTTACGTCTGTTTGTCTGTGTATGTAGTATATCTGGAATATACTGCTTTCAAAAAATCATGCAAGCGTTCAATTGTTATGGCCATTTTCAAAAGTGACAGTTATTCCGAATCACCCTGCGGAAAAATTACGTCATTATGACTTTTAAATTTGATGTTACATTTCAATTGATTTAGCCTGAATGGCTCTTCAACTTTAAATTATGTCATTAAGACTTTTACATTTGATGCTAAATTTCAATTGATGGCTCTTCAACTTCGATTAATTGATACATTTATTTTTAATTTAATTTAATTTAAAGTTGCGTATTGAGTCTCCATG